GATCACTTTCTGCGGCACAAGGCCAGCAATCAGGCTGCAGCTTCCACTGACGCAATTGTCCTTGCAACTGGACGTCTACAGCTTTGCTGCTCTAAAAGCAGACCTTGGGGTAAGAGCAGCAGCTGTATGTTTCAGTAGTACATAGCTAGAGGTAGGTGCCAAGGAGATGGCACCCATGAAAAACTGGATAAGCCAGGACATGGGCCTGGTTTCTGGCTCAGGAGAGTAACACTGCTCAAGAGGAGAGTGCTCCACAGCCCTCATGGCTGTTGGACTTGAGGAATACTTCTCTGTAGCTTCTTCTGGGCCTGTGGAGGTTGGGTACAGATGTGGGTGCTCTCTCACCTCTTCAAAACCTGCAGCACAGGACCCCTAGGACCCCTCACTGCTGCTCCCCACTGTGTCACAGGAGCATCCCTGCACAGATGTGGCACCACTGTACAGCTACCCTCTCAACAGGTTGCACAGTCTGGTTATACTGAGCCAAGGACACTTGTGGGTTTTCTGTCATGGAGCACTTCTGAATACTGCACCCATTATTTCTAATAACTGCCCCTGGTATCAGAGCTCAGAGTGAGAGGTTCCCCACGGATCCCAGCTGCTGATGCCAACACAAGGCAGTGGGGAAAAAACTTCCCTGCCAACAGCCATCACTGTTCTCCCATAGAGCCTGGCTTAATCCCTCTCTGCCATAGCTAACAGAGCTCTGGTTTTGTTGTTGGATTGGGGTGGTTTTTTCCCCCCTTTTTTAGGCCAGGCAGCTGAATCACCATCCAGATCAATTTTGTTATTTCCTAAACAGTCACAAGCTGACAGGGTAACAGGCAGACTGAGCGATGGCAGGTGATACAGCACAAGAGCCTCAAGGCTTCCTGCCTTCCTGGCTTTTGCCAAGGCACAGCAAGCAGGCAGACAGGGGCGTCTAGTACTGGCTGTGACGTGACCCTGCCTAAACTGCCATCAGCAAGGAGAGGGCATAAAAGTATCTGTGCACCACTGGGTCAGGGGCAGAGGACACAGAAATTCTGTGCAGAAGAGCAGCACCTGTAAATGGGTGTGTGGGCAGGGAAAGGCTCTGCTCTCTGGAGCATCTCCTATCACACTGCACAGCAGGGCTCAGGGATGCTGGCTGAGGTGGACTCATAGCTTCCTATGGTTTGCGGACAGCAATAGGAGTGACAGAGCTGGAGCCTGTGGAGATGCACGGCTAGCAGTGGAAGGATAGCTTGGAAACATGTCTCAGGAACCTAAAAATACTCAAAGAACCTCATCAGCATTAACCGCTGTAGCTGCCCCATGCGTCACTGGAGGTGGCCACCTCTCTGTTGGCAGACACCACTTGGATGGGGACATGGTACTGGGATAAGGTGTACAGGATTACTGTAGCTTCTGGGTACCAGGAGTTTCTCACATGCCCTGAAGTACAGTGAGCACATTTGTAGGGACAGTGAATCCAGCATTCACCTGGGAGCAAGCAGGGAGCCTCCTTTAAGTCACTTACCTTTCGTTTTGATTTCTGTCAGATGAAAGTTCCTGCCTTGAACTGCAAAGAGGCACAGCCTTCCCTAAGGGGAGCACATTTAGACAGCAGATACATTGGAGAAGGAAGTGCTCATGTGGGATATGGATACTACAGGCCCCCTTGGGTGGGATCCTCTTTAAGGCTACCTCCATCATCAGTGGCAAGGCAGTCAGTTACAGTCAGTTATAAATCAGAGCACTTGCAGTCCTGCTGCCAAAAACCTCAGCTCTCAGTGCCTTTCTCTCCACCTTCCACAGCTGCCCCTACAGCTGCTCAGAAACCTTGGATTCAGGGCAAAGCTGTAATTAAGATGCTTTGAATGGCTTAATGGGAAGACACAAGCTCCTCCAAAGACTCTACAGAGCCATGGGGGAACCAAATGCTGAATTCAGTGCCTAAGCCAGGTGCCTCAAGTTAAGCAGCGTGAAGGCTCCTCTGTGTGCCCATGCAGTGCCTGATGCAAAGATCCTGTAACGTCAATGAAAGGCAGTTCATCACCTCACTCTGTTCTTTCTTCTCACGTACAGGCAATCCAATCCATCACACAGTGCTTTGACTCTTCCCCTCCTGAATTGAGTGCATACTTCTTAGTAGATACAGGAGAAGGCCAGAGTTGGGAGTCATCAAAAACACCAGTGGGTTTTTGTGTTTGCACACACATGTGCATGGACGAACTGCATCAGCCTTCTGTGTGCATGAAGAAAGTAGAATCACAGAATTGTTCAGGTTGGAAAAGGTCTTTAAGACCATCAAGTCCAACCGATAACCTGGCACTGCTGAGTCCACCACTAAACCATGTCCCTAAGGACCACATCTGCCCTAGGCAGCAACCCTTTTGGTGTTGAAATTTCTTCCTAATCTCCAGTCTAACCCTCCCCTGGTGCAGCTTGAGGCCATTTCCTCTTGTCCTGTCACTTGTTCCTTGGGAGAAGAGACCGACCCCATCTCACTCCATCCTCCTGTCAGGCAGCTGTAGAGAGGGATAAGGTTCCCCCAAGCCTTCTCTTCTCCAGACTAAACCCCCCCCACCCCAGGTCCCTCAGCCTTTCCCCATCACACTTGTGCTCCAGGCCCTGCACCAGCTCCATTGCCTTTCTCTGGCCCTGCTCAAGCACCTCAATGTCTCTCTTGTAGTGAGGGGTCCAGAACTGAGCACAGGATTCAAGGTGCAGCCTCACCAGTGCCCAGTGCAGGGGGACGATTGCTGCCCCGGTCCTGCTGCCGCACTGTCTGATAGAAGCTGGGATGCTGTTGGCTTCCTCAGTAGATACATCCACATGACATGCAATTTTTACTTGGTGGCTGCTGGTCATCAGACAGAAAAGGAACTGCCTTAAATTCCAGTGATAAGTTTACAAACAAACCGCAGGTTGAAAGTCCTCTGGAGGGTTTTTCTGCATTCACTAGTGGATTTCAAGTTAATTTTTTCTATCATCTGCTTCCAGGTGGCTTCATGGTTGATAATTTCCTATGACCATGCTGCAGTATTCCCTACCCCCAGAGCAAAGTGCTACTCTGAACATACTTGGGGGTGGGGAGAAGTCAGTCCCAATTTGGAAAGGAGGCTTTGCCCTATGTGTAGTCGTGTCCCTACAGCGTCCCAGCGTGGGGTGCCCGAGGTTTGGTACCGCACCCGGTGATGCAGCAGCAGCCCCTGCTGCGAGCACTGCATAACTGCAGCCGGCTCTTCCCCAGCCCCGGCCGGGAGGAGATGGAAGAGGAGCACCCGCGCTTCATCTATGGGACCCTCCCAGGGCTCCACCGGGGAAAGGGCGGCCAGAGACCCCGGCCCGGGGCTGCGCAGCACGGGGGAACCCCATCGGCAGCCCAGCTCTGCACGCCAGATGCGCTCCAACCTCTTGAAGGAAAGAGGGCTATAAAACACCATCTGCTGCGTGCTGGCATGCACGGAATCATAGATTGGTTGGGGTTGGAAGGGACCTTAAAGCTCATCCAGCTCCAACCCCCTGCTACGGGCAAGGACACCTTTCACCAGACCAGGTTGCTCCAAGCCCCTGTGTCCAACCTGGCCTTGAACACTGCCAGGGATGGGGCAGCCACAGCTTCTCTGAGCACCCTGTGCCAGCGCCTCAGCACCCTCACAGGGAAGAGCTTCTGCATAAGAGCTCATCTCAGTCTCCCCTCTGTCATGTTAAAGCCATTCCCCCCTTTGCTGTCCCCTTGTCAAAAGCCTCTCTCCAGCTTTCTTTTAGACCCCTCTTTAGGCACTGGAAGCTGCTCTAAGGTCTCCCTGGAGCCCTCTCCAGGCTGAACAACCCCAACTCAGCTTGTCTCCACAGAAAAGGTGCTCCAGCCCTCAGAGCATCTTCATGGCCCTCCTCTGGACTTGTTCCAACAGGCCTACGTCCTTCTTGCGTTGGGTGCCCCAGACATGCATGCTCACAGGGTGCTCCTGCTCCCTTGGGGTCAGGGGGTATGGTGCTTCCTAGCTCTACACAAGCTCTCTGCAGTGTTAGTGTGGCACAGGGTGGATTCGGATGGTTAAAACTGCTTTTTGGAGCTCACAAGAAGGTGGTGTGGAGAGGCAGGCTGTGGCACGCCTTTCTAAGCTGACCCCTGCTCCTGCCCACCTCTGGCTTGTTCAGCATCCCTCCTCATCAGTAAGGGCAGCCCACCCTTCTGCTGGGACCACAGGAGATCTTCCTTCCTCACACCTTGCCTGGGCTTCTCTGTCTCCAGCCCCTGCTGTAGTTTTGCCCTGAAGAATTAGGGGACCCCAGTCAATGCATTTCACCCCAGCCAGAGCTGTCAGTGAGGGATTTCACCATCATACATACAGGATAATGGAGAGGACATCATTCAAAACCAGGTTTAGGATTCCTCCGTCACCTGCCCTTTTAACAAAGCCTTTTTCCAGAGGGTTTGTTATGCTCCATGTGTCAGGTCTCAGCATCCTGAACTTCTGTGGAGGCAACGATATGCTGAAATGCTTCACAAATACCCCCCCAAAAGCAAGCACACTGGATTTACTGTTCTTGATATTTCTAAGATAGGAATTAAGCAGACCGTATTAATTTAAACAAACCTCATTCCAGATCCGTACAAACACATACAGAAGGGCAGAAACACAAGGCAAAAATCAAACCCAAGAAGAACCTTTTCAGATCCTCTCTTACAATCGCTAGCCTGTCTTTCCCTTCAGCTTGACCAGAGTCTCACCTTCAACTGTGCAACTACACAGAATGCAAAGGGACATCACCTTTGGACTTCATTTCCTCATTCAGATGCTACTAGAAAACCCCAACCCTGAAAGCTTCCTGATGAGGTCCTTGCTTTGCCAGGGAGCAGCACATCCCAGGTGAGCAGCAGCCTTCAGCTGCTCCTGGTGTCCGTGCGTCTCCCACCTCCAGCGGGTTGTGATGCTGGTGGGAGGCTCTGCATCACCAGCCTTGGGGGAAGGAGTCCTCCATCTGTCTGTTGTGTGCAAGAAGCCACGCACGGTTCTGGCACACAGTGAAAGCCCTCTGAGATGATGAAGGTTGGGCTCTTCCAGGCACCCTGCCCTCCTTTCCACTGCCAGCACTAGGATGAACAAAGGTGCTGGGTACCTGTGGGGTGCAGAAAGCTGCCCAGAATAGCCAGGACAAAACCAGTGCCAACCACCCCTCAGCCAAACACGGTTTGCAGTCACCACTGACCAGGCTGAGGCTGACGCTGCAATCTGAGCAGGGCAAGGTTTATTCCCAACCCCAGATGCCAGCACAAAACGCATCCTTCAGAGGCACACGTGGCTTTGAAGACAAGTGGTGTTCCAGGGGAAGGAGGGCACTTGCCTGCGAGCAGGGCTGCTCCCCATCACACAAAGGTGGGTTTCAGGTCCTCTTTGAAGTTCACCACAGGCTGGGGCCCGCTCTGGTGCTGTGTCCAGTGGCCTGTGCAGCTGCTGGGCTCTGTGTCCGTGTCCGTGCTGCTGCTGCCCAAGGAGCCGCGCGGGCTCTGGAAGCAGACCTCGCAGCAGGGCCGGTGGCAGCCGTGGAACAGCTCCTCAGAGCTGCTGCTGCTGGAGTCCGAGTCCGGGTAATAGTACAGGGAGCGCAGGGAGGGCTCAGCGGGTCCCCTTAGGGTGCCCTGCCGCCGCCGCTGCTCCCGCAGGATGCACAACGAAGATCCCTGGGATTCCGGCCCTCCTGACCATCCCTCTGGCTGGAGGCAGGGCTCCCCAGAGGTGGCTGGAGGAGACGGTGCTGGTGGGTGTAGGAGCCCTCTGCCAGCCATCTCCCCTTCCCTCCCCAGGGAGATACGTGCTGACTCCCCACAGCCCCAAATGCTCGCCTCCTTCCCCCCACATGTGGCACAAGGGGACACGTGTCCATGGCAGCGGGCAGAGACAGGGGACAGTGGGATCCTCCGCCGCCGTCTCGCCAGGTAGGGGCTGAAGGGTGTATGGCTGCCCAGGTAGCCCTCCTGGGCCCTCCACATTCCTTCCTGCTCTCCTGGGGGGCCCTGGCCGCCATGCGGGAGACCCCCAGGTAATGCTGGGCTGTAGGTTTTGCCATCCAGGCTCAGGTCTTGCAGGATTTCCCGCAGCTTCTCACTGCTCACATAGCTGACTTTGGGGGACGACTCCCAGACCACCCCAGCCGAGATGTCCTGGTCCGATAGCTGCTCTGAAGGCTGCCCCTGTCCTATGGGTGGCCTGCACTGCTGGACATCTTCCAGGCCACATTCTACTTCATCCCTGTTGTCAGAAATCACCACCCGAGAGCAAACAGGCTCGTGGCTCCCATGGCTTGTGTGCTTCTGGAGGTCCTGGGCATTGCTGCAAAGAGGCGGTGTACCCTGCAAGCAGGGAGGCTGCCACCCGTCCTGCTCCACATCCGGGGGGCAGCAGTCACCCCGCACCTCCCCACACTGCCCTGTGCTCCGGGTGCAAGGAGCTGGCGGCATCGCTCGGGGGTCGCAGCCGCTCTCCGCAGACATCAGCCTCATCAGCTTCTCCTTGGCGCTGCTCACTTGCTCCTGCAGGCTCTCGATCACGGCGTTTTTCTGCGTCAAACACACACCCCCGTCAAGCATCAAGCACGGGGCAGGCAGAGGGCACAGAGCAGAAAGCCATCACTCCGCTCTACCAGAGCCCATTAGCAGTGTGTGACCTCATCCTCCCATGGAGCCCCCCAAACCCCCCCAGATGTGGGTGCAGGAAGCCTGTGGGTGCACTGGGACCGGCAGCTCTATGAGCCGAGCTACCCCTGGCCGTGCAGTGCAAACAGAGCAGGAGGCTGGAGGCTGGAGGCAGAGCACCTCCCCTCTAAATGAACCACTTCTGACTGCGCTGTGGGAATCGGGCTCTCCTGCTCTTCTCCCCATGGGGTGGTTGCTTTTTTAAGTTGAAACCCTCCTGATCATGCTCACATTTTGGTGCTTTGGGGTGCAGAGCGCTGTGACAAAACAAAGCAGCTCCTCCCCTCGGGAGGGAAGAAGCCAGAGGGGGATTGGGATTGCCCTTTAAAGCCTTCAACCCACAAAAGGGAAGGGGAGAACCCGGCGAGGCTGAGAGAGGCCGACAGAGCCCGGTACCTCGGTGAGCAGCCGCCTCATGGAGTTTTTCTCCCCTATGAGCTGATAGAGCTGCTCCTCGCTGTACACCGAGCGGCAGCTCCTGCTGGGGCTGGTGAAGTACTTTGCCATGTGGCTCATGGTTTGGCTTTCTTCTTCAAAGGCTTTCCACTGCCTGAGCTGGGGAGAAGAGGAGGGCGTTATCCGTGCGGCACTGCACAGCCCCTGCCGGCGCGGCGGGAGGCAGGCGCAGCTCCAGCGCCGAGGAGACAAAGGGATGGAGAGGGGAAGACAAAGGCAGGGTGTGAGTGATGGAGGAGCGGACACGGGCAGCGACAGACACGGCAGTGACACTGGGAGCCTCCCACCCATCCAAGCCCTACCCTGTCCCTGGTTCCGGCTCTTAACGCACAGAGGGTCAGTGCCTGCGCTGCATCCTCTGAGCACACTGTTAAAAGCCCCCTCCCTGACTCTGTGGCAAACAAAGACTGTGTCACACACATCTCCTCATCCCCGAATCACCCGTGACAAGCTGAAAACCAGCCATGCTCAGTATCTGCTTTCTCATCCAGTGTCTGCCGTGTGCAGCCCAGCTCCAGCTGCTTATTGATCTCTGATGAGCAATAGAAGAGCAAGCTCGTTAGGAAAAATAAGCTGATGAATTAAACGATCCAAGTTAAATAAAATGCTCAAGGCCCCCAGGCTACAGCAGGAAAATGGCGCAGGCAGGGTGCAAGCACAGCTCCTAGCTCTTCTGCCCTCACACTTGACAGAGCATCACCAGCAGGCATGGTGTTTGTCAGGGGAGGTTTGGATCCTGCTCCCAAGGGCTGCTCATCCAGTCGGTTGGGACCCTGCAGTTACACTGCACCAGCTGAGATAGAAGGGACATCATCTAGTCCAACCACCCTGCTCAAGCAAGGCCAGCTGGAGCAGGTTGCCCAGGACCATGTCCAGCTGGGTCTTGAATACCTCCAAGGATGGAGACCCCACAATCTCTCTGGGCAACCTCCTCCAGTGCTTTGCAGCTTCCACAGAACAAAACTAAACCAAAATAAACCCAAACCAAAAAGGTTTTCTGATGTTTAAATAGAATTTCCTGTGTTTCAGTTTGTGCCCTTCGTTCCCTGTCCCATCAGCGCACACCACGGAGAACAGCCTGACTCCCGCTTCCCTGCTCCACCCCCATCGGTATTTATACACATCCCTGAGATCCCCCAAACCCTCTCTTATGCAGATGTGCTCTTTCTTCAGATTTACCTCTTCCTCCCTTTCTCACCTCATTTCCTTGAGCCCAAACATCCCTCCAAGCATTAAACTGAGTAAACAACTGTTTCCTCTCCCTGTAACAATGGAAGCATTTTTCCCACTAATGTTGGGGCCAGACACCAGGCTGCTCCTGGAGGACACAGGAAGCAGGAGAGCCTCACCTCACCACAAAAGGCTTCCTTCAAACACCTCTGTGTCCTCCTCCTCCCTTGTGCCAAACCCCAGCTTCCTTCTCCGAGAGCAGAGAGGACAGCCTTTCCTGGGGACCACCAGCCACAAAGACTCTGAGCCTGGTGAGGCCATCTGGATGGCCAGAGCCTGGTGCTATCCCTGCCCTTGGTGGGACTGAATGCATGGGGTATGAGGAGAAGACAGCTGTGTGAAGGACAGATCCCACTACCCACATAGAGGAGGAGGAGGGCAGCAGCTGCTTCGCCTCCACGTGTGCCCTCTGTGTGGCTGCTACCCATGGCACGCTCATGCAGGATGGGTTTCTGAGCATCCCCTCTGCAATGCACTGCACTTCTTGGAGACTCAAGGGACTTGCAGGGGGAAGCAGAGCCATGAGGGGCTTGGAGGATGAGGTGTGCAGGTGAGCCCAGACATGTGGGGAAAGAAGCAGAAAAATAAGCAGCTTGGGCCACACGGCTGCAGTTCCCAATGTCCAAACCTGTGCCTGTTTCCAGGCAGGCGGTGGGACAGACGTGACAGCATACCTGTGGGACAAAGATGAAGCAGTTGATCGTGGTTGTACACACGAAGATGCCTCCAGAGGTGAAACCAAACAGCAAGTTGTGCCAAGCACGGAAGAAGCGGTGAACTAAGCAGACAGTGCTGGCAGCCAGGAAAACGAGGTTGACCCCAACGATGAGCGTCAAGGACTGGTTGACTGGCGGGGAGCTGACGTTGTCGGTCAGACCGGCCAAGTAGGTCCCGTACAGCAGGAGGATGCTCTGGAAGCAGAAAAGAGAGGTTTCCAGAGTGTGGAAAATTACAGCCTGATGGTGCCAACCCCCACGTCCTGCTGAGCCCGGTGAGCTCAGATACACTCAGCGCCATCCTAATTAACGCTCTTTGATCTATAATGCAGCCCTTCAGTGCGGGGTGGTGACGCTGCAGCAAACGCCCCGCGTGCTGCTGTGGGTCAGAAGTGGGGCTGGGGGGGAAGGCAGGAGTGAAGGTGCTGGCAGGCCCTGGGGGTCCCGACTAAGGGGCACAAGGAGCTGAGGGTCAGGTCTGAAGGTGATGCCACAGAGCAGGGCATGGGTGGGAGAGGCAAGATGTGAAAACCTCTCCTTGGGCGGCCTGGAGCAGGAGCAGCAAAGACAGACAAGAGACAGAGATCCCTGCAGGGATGCAGCAGTGCCATCAAGGAGCAATGACATACCTCTGAGGGAGCAGGAAGGAGATTCAGAAGGACGTTCAGGAGGAAAAAGCAAGGCAGAAGAAGCGGAGGTTTAGACTGGAGGGAAGAGGATGTACTCGGTTCCTCTTTAAATAGAAATCCAGGAAACTCCCAGGTGCAATCCTTCTCCCTTCCCTTGGCTGTTTCCTGCCTGACCCTAACAGCAGTGACAGGGGCTAGTGAAGTGCGCTGTACACAGAAGCCCTCTCTCCCTTGGAGCAGGGCAGTTGTTTCAGAGCAGGCTTCCTTGTCACGGTGCCCCACATGTGCATCTTTCCAGCGAGCCTGGGATTAAACTACCCGGCAGGATGAATTCCTCCTTTCCCAGGGCACACTGTCAGGAAATGCTGAGTATTTTTGCCCACCTCTGTAGCTCAAGGCATGGTTTGCCTTAGGAATCATAGAATCACAGACTGGTTTGGGTTGGAAAGGACCTTAAGATCATCCAGTTCCAACCCCCTGCCGTGGACAGAGATGCCTCACATTAGATCGTGTCACCCAAGGCTCTGTCCAACCTGGACATCTAACAAAATCCCTGCTCCTGCAAGGACCCAGGACATATGGAACAGGACTCCTACATCACTCCTGTGCTACCCAGTAAGTTCAACAGTTGGCCTTTTACTAGAAGATGTTGAATTGCTATTTGGGCATCGAGCAGTGCTTTGTGACCTACGGTGCAAATGTACTGTAGATCCTTCTGGACCCCTCCATGCTGTGGCTGCTTGATGACCACAATGGCCACTGCCAGGAACAGAGTCTGGAGGGACACTTACAGGCAAAATGTGTTCATGTCCATGGTCTATGGTGAGACTCCCAACTTGAGAGCACCATGAATTCCTGAGGGGGGTTGTAGTAGCAAGATGTGCCTCCCTGGAAACTAGGCTGATGCCCATCCCTGCTTCATGGGATCCGCACTGGATCCTAACCATGTTCACCATGGCACACCTCCAAGTACATGGCCAAAGGCAAGCCAGCTCTTAATCCCTGAGCAAGAAAAGATCCAGCACCAAAGTCGCATTAAAATGCATATAATCTATCTGGGACACAGACAACAGCACTGCTGTCTGTTGAAGCAGGGTTTTCAGTGAGCACAGCGCTAAGTTGTTTGTTTGTTTGTTTTAATCTTGAGCAGAAGAACTGTGCTCCTAATTCCAGGCATGTCCTTGGCCAATCCTTTCTGTTCATTGTGCTGGGCCAGGAAAACCAGGGTAATAAACTGAGTGGTTTCACAAAGGGCTGAGCACATTAGTGCTGTGGAAGCTAAGAAGTGCTATGTACGCGCAGAGATGGAGCCTGCTCTCATGTGAGTGTAAATCCAGATTAACTCCAGAGAAACCACTAAAGAAACAGCTCCAGTAGGATCAGGTCCAACACAATGCTAAGGAAGAGTACCTGGGACTGGCAATGGGGATGTTTGATTTCAAGTTTGTAGGAGCTGTAGGTGAAAGCATTACCTGTCCAAACCCTAACACAAACTGCAGACAAAATGAGAGGTGAAGACACAGCACCAAAGGCCAGGGAATGCCTGCAGTCCCTAGCACCCAAGGACTTCAAAGGGCAGGCTAGACTAATGTATTTAAAATGAAGTGTAGTGGGGAAAAGGACTTGGCCATTTCGCAAAGTCTCTTTCTGTTCTTTTTCCTACAGTTTTGGGTAGATGGTCAGTGGGCTACAGGGATGCTGGAGAGGGAGTCTTCATCAGGGACTGCAGCGACAGAACAAGGAGTGATGGGTTCAAACTGAAACAGGGGAAGTTCAGGGTAGATATAGGAAGAAGTTCTTTACTGTGAGGGTGGTGAAGCACTGGCACAGATTGCCCAGAGAAGCAGTAAATGTCCCATCTCTGGCAGTGTTCAAGGCCAGGTTGGACAGGGCCTTGGGTGACATGGTCTAGGGTGAGGCATCTCTCCAACAGCAGGGGGTTGGGACTGGATGATCTTAAGTTCCTTTCCAACCCAAACCATTCTGTGATTCTATTTTACACTGAGTCAGAAAGGAACTGCCTGTACTGCAGGCAGAGATGGAGCTATTCCCAAAGAAAGGCTGTGATCTCACAAGCTTCGTCAACATCAGCTTTCTGAAATGCGTCCAGCCTCTGCCAACCTAGGGACACATGAGACCACAGATAATTACAGCTGTAATTATACCTACATAGTTACATCAGTGCACATAACTCTCCTGGAATAAGAATGGCCATGAGCAGAGCTACCTCAGTGAAAGTGTACCGCAGTGGTATAATTTAGCTGATACACATCCTGTATGGGTAGGCACCAAGGCTTGTCATCAGCACCTCCTTGAGTTGGAGTCAGAGGACTCAGGGGCTGAGCCACAGAGTGCATCTCTGCAGTGCACAAACACCTGAGGCCTTATGGAAAAAGCTTGCTTTAGAAAAGAGTAAGACACAAGTTTGAAGAAGGGAGATGGATGAGGCAAGGAGAAGTTGCAGGGAGAGAACTGGACCATCAGTATGGGCACAGTGTATGTGAAAGAGATGGGGAAGCAGGGCAAAAGTAGCTAACAGCTTTTACAAGGGAATGCAAGATAACATCCATGTGGGAAGGACTGGAGATGAGAGTGCTTCCAGGATGAACAGGAATGTGCAGTAGGCATGTAGCTTAGGCAGGCAGCGAAACTAAGAACACTGCTGAACAGTTTAGGCTGTGAGGCTGGAAGAGGACAGCCACAATGGGAGAATCAATAAAGAGGTTACGTACCTTAAACCCTAAAATGAGAACGAGCCAAAGGTCGGAATAAAGAGATGCGCAGGACTGCACCCGGCTCACTGAGCAGGTCATGCCTTTCTCTGTCGCCTAGGAGGCAAGGGGAAGGCAGGAGTGAAGGCTGCTGCCCTGGCCTGGGAGCCAGCACAGAGCCTTGGCCACATAGGTGTACACATCGAGCAGGTCTGCTCTGTAAATCCCTAAAGGAATGGCCAAAGCTGGTGCTGCCAGGGGGATTAAAGCAAGGAACATGTGGGCCCTCTGCTGCCAAAAGGGCTGGTTGAACTTTTCTCTAAAGCATGTGCAGAAGCCATGGACCTCTCCTGTGTCACCCAGGTGACCTGCACAGGCCTGGAAATTTTGCAGCAGACCCTCACGTCTGCAATAGACTGGACACAAACCCAACCCAGAGCACCCAAAAGCCTTGCTGGCTTCTTCTTTCTATGTTTTTAAACAGCACCTCCAAACACCCAACCATCCACTTAGTGCAGAGAGAGCAGACAGGACCCAGGGCAACCTTCCCCTGTCCCTGCTCATCCTCTTACCCGGAGCGAGACGCTGAGGCTTCGGAAGCATTGGACTGGATCAGAGAATACCCACGTCAAGAGCAGCACAGCATCCGCCAGCACCAACGCTGCCACCATCGCCAGCAGCTGGAGGTCTTTGATAATCTGCAAACAATGCAAGAAGCAAACGCTACGGTGAGGGGCAAATGGGCACCAATGACCTCCATCCCCTTGGGTCTCCATCTGGGTGTTTCTTCCAAGGGATACATCCAGCCTAATGCTTCTCCCAGAGTGGAGTCCAGTGGCTCACCTACATCTGAGTCAGCCACAAGATCTTTGTCTCAAGCACTCAAACTCCTGGAGACCTAACCAGGCTAACCAGCATCCCTCCGATGCTGGAGCTAGCTGGTAAATGCTATGACAGAAAACAGCTCTCCAAAACAAGAGCATCATTCTTCACGCTCGTATCACAAGCGGAGACCAAAACACTGGGGAAAAAAAGCTGGCAGGGTTATAACTTTGCAAGCATCACAGGTCCTGGTGCCTCAGGAATGGGAGTGCTTGCTGGTACCCACTTCTCATCTCACCTTTCATCTGAGACTTAATTTTTTCACTGTTGGAAAGCAGCCACCAAAAGCTGTACAGGCACTGTTACACATGAATCCATACCTAGCTGGCTCCCGTTTCCCTCCCAGCTGCTGTATCCCCTTCCTCCAGTGCTGCAGAGGAGCACCCAGCTCTCCCTTCCTTCCTTCAAGAGAAGACCACACACCCCTGAGGATACCTGCTTTATTTTCCTCCCACAGAACCCATCACCCCGGACCTGGGCACAAACAGCGGTGCATAGCGTAATGAAGGCACGTGGCCAATGTAAAATGAGAACAAGATCTCTCTTGGTGATGGGGCTGGGATGTTCCACCAGGGAACAGGCAGCCTGGCAGAGCACTTGCTTGCCTGCTCACGTCTCTCTGTGCAGGAACAGAGGCACAGTGCCCAGCCCGGTGTGAAAGCAGCGCTGTGACAGTGGCACCCATCCTCACCATGGGATGCTGGTCCCTGCTACCCCACACCAGCCTGGGGTTCCCGCTGTCCCCTCGCCCCTCCCGGGTGCTGTGTACTCACCACCCGCTTGTCCGGCACCCGCTGGGTGAACACCCGGTAGAGCCGCCAGCTCTTGCCCAGGACAGGGCCGAACACCAGCGAGGTCCCCACGCAGAGCAGGCAGAGCCGAACCTGCCGGGGCAGAGCGAGGGACTGAGGGGGCAGCTCACAGGGACACCCGCACCCTCCCTCCCTGGGGTGCAATAAACGTGGGTGCACATGTGCCTTGCAGAGGGTCGCATCACATCACCCCACTGACCATAGGGTGAAATGGGTGAAAAGGCACACATTGCTCCTCTGCTCTGCTGTCCTAAGACCCCACCTGTGTCCAGCTTTGGAGTCCTCAGTACCAGAAAGACATGGACCTGCTGGAGAGAGTCCAGAGGAGGGGTACAAACATGATCAGAGGGAGGGAGCACCTCTGCTATGAGGAAAGGCTGAGAGCTAGGGTTGTTCAGCTGGAGAAGACTCTGGGGACACCTTATTGCATCCTTTTAGTTCTTAAAAGGGGTCTATGAGAAAGATGGGGAGAGGCTTCTTAGAAGGGCCTGTTGCGACAGGATGAGGGATGATGGTTTTAAACTGAAAGAGGGGAGATTCAGGCTGGATGTGAGGAAAGAATTCTTTACAATGATGGCGATAAAACACTGGCACAGGCTGCCCAGAGAGGTGGTGGATGCCCCATCCCTGCAGACATTCAAGGTCAGGCTGGGTGCAATTCTGGGCAACCTGATCTAGTTGATGATGTCCCTGCTCATTGCAGGGGGTAGCACTAGAGGAGCTTTGGAGGTCCCTTCCAACCCAAACTATTCTGTGATTCCATTCCTCTGCAGGCTGCCTCCTGCTCCCCACCGTGAGAGGCAGGCAGGAAGAGGCAGGCATCTGGTGAGCAGCAGGGGCACGGAGGGTCCCAGCACCCATAAATGGCACCTCCATTGATTTTCCTCAATGTGGCTGAGCAGGACAGCAGGGGCTGCTCTCTGTCAGTGTGGCAGGGTGGCTGACCCATGCCAGCGCATGGGGGCTCATCACACAGGGCAGTGCATTGATCAGGATCTGCTGTGTAGCCAAGAATCACACCTGCAACTGGGGCCTGCATGAACAGCAAAGGCCATTCAGATGGGAAGTGTCCAGTTGTGTTTTGTGTATGTGGAAAGCCAAACGTGCCCAGCAGCAAGGTGGTGACAGGCTGCAGCCAAGACAGAGCATGTGCGAACATGTATGTACATGCACACGCGTGCATGTATGAAGGCACCCATTCCACCAAACCTCTCACTCACCTGAATAAGCTTTTCCACCGAGTCTCCGGACGGCAGGCTCTGCTCCTGAATCCCAAAGAGGTAAGCACTGGTGTAAGTCAAGCCACTGCCCAGCAGGGTCACAATGTTCAGATTGGGGCTGGACATCTTCACGATCCTCCAGGAAACAAAGCAGGGAAGGTGGTGATGGTTACTGAGTGTCATGACCTGGCAGCACAGGGGGAAGGTCCCCTTACAAGGATGATGATGGCCATAAGGGATGCTTACACATTGTCTCCTCCCAAGCCCTGCTCTTCACACCTCCCTCCTCCAGAAGCTCAGCCATTGCTCCATGGGCATACCCTATGCTCCCCTTTAAGGAGGGCTTCATTCTCCTTAAAGCATTCATTTTGCCTTACCCCACTACTATAGGACAGCAAGATCCCTTCTCCCCAAAGCACACAGATACCAGGCTTGCCCCATGGCACCTCTACCCCTTGCATGGTTCTGTGGCACAGAAAAGCACCCCTGAGACAGCTTAAGCCAGTGTCTTTATGGACAAAATAAAGCGGCCACACATCCCCACAGACAGCACAGAGCCAGGGGAAGCATGTCCCATGTGCACACAGCACAGCACCCAGCTCTGCCCCCCGATTCATGGCCAACATCTTCCTCCACTGTCCTCTGCTGTAAAGGAGCAGAAGTGGAAAAACCTCATCAAAGCAGCCAGGGTGTCTGTCCCCAACAGTAAGCTTTGGGTACAGCAGCTACAAATGCCTCCAGGAACAGGTTCTTCCCACTGCTCCTTCCTTGGAGGAGACACCTCCACCCTCAGCACAGCCTCAACATCAGGAAGCTGCCAGCAACGTTCAGGTTACAGCTTCCCCTCTGTAATTTCACCCCATCACTCATAATCCTGTAACTGTACTCAGGGAGGGGAGAATCAACACACCAATCTCTCTCAACCTGTTACCCTTCTCCAGCAAAGTGAAAGCTGGAGCTCCTGCCATCCCTTCTGCTCCTAAGTCATTTCATTTCTTTACCCTTGTGCTCCTTCCTGGCTTGCAGCCTCACAGACACAGAGCCTGGGACTCAACCTGGCTCTCTCCCTCCCCTGCCTTCCTTGCTGTGACTCAGCCCCTGGGAAAGATACTCCTCAGTTCACCCTCTCAGCTGCACGCTGAATAAGGCCTCCTTTGCCCTCCGAGGTTCAGTACACAGACCAGTGTTTATTTGCTACAGTGCAAATAAAGAACACGCATTCATTACAGCTTGCTCTGGGAATAACTTCAGGGGCCTAAATCATTTGGTAATCAGTTAAGATGGTCACCAAACCCATCCCCACTCTGCTTCAGTAAATCAAGTGCTTGAGGCCAGGATGCAGGTCATAAGGCCCAATAGAAATCCCTAGGAGCAGGACCCTCCTGAATGCATGGTGGCCAGAAGGAACATTAAGGTCCTTAACCAGAGCACTGAAACAGCAGCAGCCCAGCCTGCGTACAGGTGCACATCTCTGTGCCAAACAACAGCACAGGGAGCACAAAGGCTTTTCAAGCTCAAGCTTGGAAGAGGGATGTATCTTGTGGGGAAGAAGTAGTTGAGAGACCAAGGGACCAATGAAGCTGGGGAGAATGTGGCAAGAAGGCAGGAGAGACATTCGGGATTGCTGAGGAAGGCTAAGTGCTGGCTGCAGCAGGTTTACAGAGCCTTCTGCTTGATTTATGGTGCATTCAGGGGAGCAGGACTTTTTACATCCTTTACATCCTTGTACCCACTCAGCAGTACCAAGGAAAGGCTGCACTTCAACACCAGTTTCTCTTACCAATGGGGGTCGTGCTCCCCCCCAGTATGCACAACCACCAACCTGTGGCCCAACAGCAGAAGGACATGTGCACACTGTGGAGAGAGTAACAGCTTTGTTCATGGAGCTATGCTGCCCAAACTGATGCTCTCAGGACTGTGGAGTGGAGAAAGACACCGGGGTCTCTTTCTGCTCAGTCCTGTTGATGGTTTTGTTGAATGGCACCTTTGGGATGAGACCATGCACTGCTGCCTGTGCCAAACTGGAGGGCATCCATGCACTTTCTTGTCCACAGCTCCCTGCTTTTGGGAGGAACGGAGCAGTCCGAGCAGGACTGTCTCCACCAGTGATCAACACTGGGTGTAGTGGAGAAAGCTGCAGTATCCCTGGAATTGCCTTTGCTTGCCCCGTGCTGCTCCTTCAGTCTTGTACCCTCCTGGCCATCAGCTCAAAGCCCGGTCCTGAAGGAGCCCAACCCCACTGCTAGAGCTCAGGGGAGCTCTCATAGCAGGAAGGGGAAGCCCTTACCTGTTCTTCCTGAAGCGAATGGTGAAGACAAGAAAGAAGAGTGCCAGCAGGACTCCTCCAGTCAGGAACGTCCACACAACTCCCAGAAGAGCAGCAGAGAAGGATGGGGAGCTCTTCCCACTGCGGTCAGAAGATGTCTGCAGGAGGGAGAAGGAGGGAGGAGGAAGAGGACATTGCTGACACCACTGTACCAGACCAGGGCTAGTGAGCTGTGTGGATACTGGATGCAAGCTCTGCCACTTGCTGAGCACACAGGAGGAGAGGGCAGACCTGGAGCCCTCATCTTAAGGCCAACTAGCCAAATCCATAATGAAGCCATACAAGACTCGGAAACCTCAGGCACCTGGCTGTGGGAGACAGGAAAACAGGTGAAGTTCCCCACTTTTCACTGGAGGAAAACACCAGTTTGTAGAGCACTGTTTTGGGAACTGGGGAGCGCATCCTTGGCTCCCACCCTCATCCCTACACAGGGCAGGTACCCAGCCAGCTGGGCAACATGACTGGGAGTGGGATGGTGTTTGTCAGCTCTGTTAGGCAGTGACACACTGGGCTGGGCTCCACCTCTCCCTGCTGGTCCTTGGTAAACAGCAGCTGAAAACTGGGTTTTGAGGGACACTCCCAGCTCGGGCGTGATGGAGGCACCTTGCTCCTTGCGTGCAGGCGACCCTAGGGTTTTACATCTCCATTTAAAATAGTCCCTGCGATCTCCCTATTAACATAGGCTGGATAAAATGATCCCGTGTGAAACAAGAAACCCATTTCCGCTGTGGATCTAAAATACTCCAGCATTTTTAACAGGGTCTGCACATGTGGGTTGGCTCACACACAGCCAAGTATTACTTGTACTTAATTTCCCTTTAAGGGGAAGGAAGATGAGAGGGACTGAGCTATCACACACCTCCTCACTAACTTCTCTGGTCTTTTCTCAGGTATTCCAGTTCACCTGCATGCAATCTGTATGGCAGAAAGCTGTTTCCCTGACAGCTGCCACTGCCCCAGATTTTCAGTTCTCCCCTTAAGGTCTGAGCTGTTTCTGCTTCAGCCTTGCTAGAAATAAATCTGCAGGAAGTCGGTCATTTGAAGCCAATGCCTTGTCTCCCTCTTCCCCAGCTGAGCTCCTTTTCCTCTGGGTAAGCAAGAACATGGCACAGCCTGGAGAATTAAAGCCAACACATAACTCTTAAACCAAAAACGTGTCCCTGCCACGTGAGCACGGGTGGCTCTTGCCAGCCCACAGGCTGGAGCTGCTCTGGTCTCAGGGTAAGGCAAGTCCCTGGCTGGGAGACGCAGCCAGCCAAGAGCTGCTGCTGCTGCGTTATGCTGGGATACAGCCCTGCTTTGCAGCAGTGTGAAGGCATCCCTGGGGACTCATCTCTCTCCTGCAAACTACTCCCCACCTCCTCTCCCCATTCCCTGGGGGTCTTCTGGCTCTCTGGGAAATGAAGACCGCATCACAGTGGAGGTGGTCAGTCAGGTTGGTCTCCCTCCCCTTATACCAGGACCTGCCTAGAATCAGGACTAGGTACCAGCCCGGAGCTGATGGGGCTGCTCAGGGCTGGTACAAGGCCATAATGCCATCCTATTTCTATGTCCTGCCTGGTCAAGCCCATGAGCAGCACCTGGCTTTTGACACTAAGACGAGCAGGGCAGACTTGGCATCCCAGGGCTCCCACACTTCACTCCCAGCTGCATCCACCAGCAGCATCTTTCCAGTGCTGGCCGCTGCTGAAAGCATTACTGCACCCTTTTCCCAGGAACCACCCAAGCATCAGAAACACCTCTGTGGTTTCCACCTTTCCTTTCCAAACACATACATCCTGTCTCCCCTCAACCACTGTTTCCCTGGATGTTGATGCTGCTTGAAGTTGATGGAGCGCTTTGTTTGCTGCTGAGCTGAGTAAATCCTGACCCTAGCAGGGGGAATATTAATTGCAAGGCAGCTGCCTGAGCCAGAGGAGCCAGGCAGCTTATGGGCTTCTAATTAAAGGCCCATGGTCCTGCCGAACATGGTGGAGAACCAGGCGGGCCAAGCCTTGCTGGTCCATCCAGCAGCCTCATGCAGAGCCAACTGCAACTAAGTGCATCCCAGCGTCATTTCTACTGGCTTAGTGGTAGGGGGAGGTACCACTTATTACAGATGATGACTTTTAATTAAATCCGGCTCTATTCATATTTGAAAAGCACTTTGAAGTTCCAGGGGATGGGAAAGGTCAAGGGCAGAGGAAGCATCCCAGGCCACTCCTAAGCGGCTGTCGTGCTGGGCAACGCATGGGAGGGCTGCTTGACACAACTTGGCTGTTGTGGCTGCTTCCTCACCTTCTGGCTAACTGCTGGGTGTCATCTAGACAGGGCTTGTCTTGGAGGCCATCCCAGGAGGTGACAGCACGCTGCCTGTGGCTGGACAGCTGTGCCCCCTTCTCCAACCCTCCACCTAAACCCACTCCTTGCCGAGCCAACCTCTGCCAAGAGCGCTCCCCTACCTCCGTACGTACCACTGTGACAGTGCAGAGCTCCTGCAGCGCCCGCTGATGCTGCTCCTGGCTGCCAAAACTGGAGCTGCCATTGCAGAGCTGGGAGCAGTTGAATCCTGGCTCCATAGCACATCCTCAGCCGTCATCCAGCCGTACCTTCACCCCTGCCAGAAGGATGGGGGACAGCTTTCTCCAACAGGAGGAAGCCTTTGGTGTATACCACATCCCCCCCATCAGGAGGGTGAAAGGAAGGGGTCCAGCAGCCCGGAGCTGAGCTTACCCCAACTGATGCAGCGCACATCCAGAGCCAGGACAGGGAGCACCCACCTCCCGCCGTCCCTCGGGGTGTCCTCTGCAGTGAGCGGAGTCAGCACAGGGTGCACGTTCCCATGGAGCACGGTGGCATCCCAAGCCCTGCTGTACCACCCTGCAGAGCAATACACAGCAGAGTCACTGCAGCCCCTGGCCCCTGCACCCTAGCTGAGGACTCCACCCCAGGAGCTGTGCTGCTCCGAGCTGGATGTGGCACCTGGCACCCCAAGCCTGATACAGCTTGATCGCCTGATGCAACCCACCACCCCACACCAGTGTGATTTGAGGACATCTCTCCACAGGTCTCTCCTATGCCAGCAGCTGCTGCCATTTCCTGGCACGTTCACTTCTTCAGGCAAAGAACCAGCAAGTGAAGACAACAACAAACAGCAACAAGTGTTAATGGGACCTACACCCCGTCCCGGGTGAGCAGGGGAGGAAGGCACTTGAATTACACACGTACCACAGTGTTTTGGCTGACGTGGCCCAGGCAGCAGCCCCAGCCAGCTGAGGAGCGGGCTCTTTATTAAGGAGATTTAAAAGCCTGGCACCTCCGTGCTCCCCATCCCTCCCGGCGCTCTGGCTGCCAAGGTATTGTCCCCGCCTGCTCCCGCTCCCCTCGCAACCACCTTTGCCTCTGTTCCCTCTTTCATTTCTCTTTTTGGTGGGGATTTTAATAGGCTTCATTACCATTTTAGACATGAGGTCATACTTATCCTCAAGCATCCTTACTCAATTACCATTGTCACTGGTTTTAATTAGCTTCCAGTGCACGACCATAAGCAAGTCTCCCGTCGTTAGCAGCTGGGGAGGAAGCATAATAGCTCGTTCCCTATTTGCTCCTAACAACTGGTGGGAGGGAAAAGTATATCCATATCGTGCTCCTGCGGGCTGCATCCCGGCTGAGCATCCCCTGTGCTCACACCGTGCGCCTGCCCGCTGCTCCATCCTTCCCTCCTGCTACTCCCGACATTTTGATCCCCTCTCCTTACAAGTCCTTCCTTTGGAAAAGCTCCCGGCATTACAGGAACAAAGGAAGAGTGAATACAAATGAACCGTGGTCACCAGGACCTGGTCTGAAACTTGCTGATCTTCATGGCAGATACTCATCAGGATTCAAATGCCAGAAAAGCTACGGGTGCCGTTCCCAGCTGGTGTAAACTGATTCCGAGCTTTAAAGAAGTCACTTACAAGTCCCAGCTGAACAGGCCACACGTCCACAATGAGCAGAGCCACCTCTGCAGCAACAACTGCAACTCCTCTGCAGGCAGAAGCCCTGGTGTGCTGTGAGTCTGGATGCTGTCCTGCCTGCACCAGGACCACCCCCGATGAGATCAGCTCAACGCATCCTGCAAACACAATATCACACATTACCCACATGCATGATAGAGGCTTTTCTCAAGAGCACTCTCCATCAAGCCTCCCTCTCTCCTTATAGCTTGTAGCAAACCCTGGTGATGTTTTCCCCCTCCAAGCAGGGCCACCCTCTCGGGGTTCCCGTGCCCTTCATCGCATCAGGAGACATGGTGCTAACGGCTCCCACACAACATCGATAACCAGGCCAATTAGCACTCATTAGTATGCAACAAAGCAGGCACTAGTGTGGCTCTTGCCACAAGGCAACTGGTATTTCCAGCCAGCAGGAATGCTGCTCCATGGCCTGGAGAGCATCCAAGGGGGACAAGCGCTGGGGAGGGGGGTCACTGCCCTTCCGAGTGAGGTTCCAATGACTGGGGGGGACAGACACCAACACAGGTAAGAAAACAAATGCTTAAGACGTGGGGTCTCTTGAGGACAGAGACTTGTTGGGTTTTGGGGGTTTGTTTTGAAGGCAAAAACACCCAACAGTTCTGGTAAATCACTTCTGGAGCAGAATCACAGCATGGTTTGGGTTGGAAAGGACTTTAAAGCTCACCCAGTTCCAACCCCCCTGCCACAGGCAGGGACACCTTCCACTAGAGCAGGTTGCTCCAAGCCCCTGTGTCCAACCTGGCCTTGAACACTGCCAGGGATGGGGCAGCCACAGCTTCCCCGGGCACCCTGTACCAGGGCCTCACCATCCTCATTATAAAAGATGTTTTCCTTACATCCAACCCAAATCCATCCTCTTTCAGTTTAAAACTGTCATCTCTTACCATCTGCCACAGGAAAAAGCCTTTTTCTGTCTTTCTTATATGTCCGCTTTGTGTACTGAAAGGCTGCTCTAAGGTCTCCCCTTAAGGAGCCTTCTTTTCTCCAGGCTGACCCAGCCCAGCTCTCTCAGCCTGGCTCCAGAGCAGAGCTGCTCCAGCCCTCACAGCATCTCCATGGCCTCCTCTGGACTCACTTCAACAGCTCCACATCCTCTGGTGTTGGGGACCAGGACTGCAGGGGGGGGGTCTCATGAGAGCAGAGTAGAGGGGGAGAATCCCCTCCTTTCACCTGCTCCTCACGCTCCTTTTGATGCAGCCCAGCACATGGGTGGTTTTGGGGCTCAAGCACCCACTGAAACCGGATCACATCCAGTTTTTGTTCACCAGTATCCCCAAGACCTGCAGAAGGTGGCTCTCTATCCCTTCATCACCCATCAGAAGTTAGTTCTCCTTTTGTGTGTTTCTCACTCTGGAAACGTTAGGCTTCCATTTGGGTAATTTCAGAGGAAAACTCAGCTCTTAGAATGAGGAAAGGCTGAGGGCATTAACACCTCCTGTTAGCCTGCCCATCACAGAGGGAAAAGGGGAGCCAGAGAGCGATGCTGACTGTCAGTGGAGTTTACTGTTGTTTGATTTTCAAACAGCAGACATAGGGGAACACCGAGAGAGCAGTTTCTGACAGCCTGCACACACCAGGGAGCAGCCACACGTCCAGTGAAGCGAAAGCCTCACTCAGCTCTGCTTGCCTTGTTCTCCTCCCCTTGCCTCCCTTGGTCTTTGTGGTATTGCATCTGCTGGCTGGCTGGATCACAGTGGCTAGTATATGGCCATGGCCAAGCATCAGCGTGCACGTGGGCATGAACCAACAAGCCTGAAGCTGATAGGAAACAAGTGACTGGGCCATATGGAAAATAATAGCATCATCTTCTGAAGTAAAAAGGAAGTACTGACTGTTAAAACCAATATTCAGATAAAAGCAATTCGTGGACATCTTAATGGTTGGTCTTCAGGGCTGGAAAACCTGTTTCTTCAGCTCCTTCAAGACCCAAGATGACTTACCGCTGCTGAGCAACTGGTAATGCAAAATGCATAAATACCCCTCAAAAGAGGTGCAGTTGATGATGTCTAAATGCACATCTTGACTTTCTCAGTTTCTTCTTCCCTTCAAGAACTTCCTTTTGAAATAACAGAGGCAAAAAAACCCCAAACTTGAAGAGGCTGAAAAACTGATGCAGCGTGTATGGGCCCAGAGCAGGCAGAATGAACATTTCACCCAACCAGTTACTCTTGATGTAGCACTGAAAGAGAGATTTCTTCCCAAAGAACAAGGTGATATGGCAGCTTGGTGGGAAACTGAAGATGCCCCATCACAGACAACAGAACAACTGCATTCAGAAATGTGTCAGTCTTCATAAACCCTCCAATCCTGTCTGGTCATAGCAGCCCTGGCAGAGAAATGGAACATGTGAACCTCTGCAAGGGAAGAGCAGAGCACATCTGTTGAGAAGAAGACAATTGCGTGGCCAGCTGCAACCTGCAGCTTTGCTGCATGCCAGAGAGACAGAGAACAAGCAGGAGGGGAAGGAGGGATGTGCAGAGAGCAGAGCTGCTCCTGCCACCTCAGGAGGGGAGCAGGAGGACCCTGGCTCACCCATCTGTGCCGTTAGTACCACTGCTGATGGTAGATGGAGGTCTTCTGGTGGGCTGCTAGACAGGATGCCAGGCCACACACACTTACACCAACAATCCTCTGGATAACTGTTCAGCGAGATGAACAACACGAGAGGGGTTTTGCAATTCAGAAAATGCTGGCACTTCTGAGACAGGCTCCTGCTTTTCCCTCTGCTCTTCTTGTCCAACAAGATCCCTTCTTGTTTGACCTGAGAAACCTGCAATATTGCCAACCCCAAGGCGATCAAAAAAATCCCAAGCAACACCCCCCTCCGGAGCCAGTTAAAAATCACGAGTTAAAATGCACAGCATATCTGAAGCTTATTGTTCATTTACATCTAAAGCTTCAGCATCGACCTTGTCACTTTCCCCTGCAAACACGAAAGGAAAAGGAAAGAAAACCAAGAAATTGCACTTATGCGATCCTAAAACCTGGGTTACACGGTCCCAAAGCCTGGGAACACCGGGGAGCTGCTACGCTGTCACCCTGCTTCACAGGGACTGTGCCATGCTCTTGCTCACGGGATTGCCAGAGCCACCTCCAGGCCTCTCAGGTATCTTCATCCCCATCAGGCACAGTGACACAATGGGTCAAATCACAGGGCCCAAAGGGAGGCATCTTCCCACCAAGCAGCATCCCTGGCTATGCTCCCACTCAGGACCCATGCCCAGGGTATGGGTGATCACCACCAGGAGCTGCAGGACCTTGCTGCATGCAAAGGCAGGAGATGCAGGACAAGATGCTTTTGTCTCCTGATGGCACGGGCAGCTCATCAGGTGACTGGAACCTGGAATTTCGTGTTGACTGGAGCAAGCTACAGTTTTGGAGCCTCGTCTCCATTTCAGACAGCATCTCCCAGGGTCTTGAAGGCAACAGTTTCTGAACCAATTGCCCCAGAACCATGTGTCTGTCCCCTGTAGGTCCCTCAGCTCAGGAGGATGGCACCAAACTGGAACATTTAGCTCTGCCCCTAGTCTAACTTTGTACATGCAGATTAAATTCCCTCCTGGCTCCTTTCGATTCCTTGGGTTATGTTTTAAATTCAAAGAAACCTCCATGCAAAAAGCCATGACTGTTCTGAACTGCCATGCGGTCCTGCAAGGAGCTGACTCACACGTCTCCCACTGGGGAGCTGATAAGGCTTTTAACTCTCTAATCTTAATTACTGTACAATGATAGGTGTGCAAGGAATAGAGACAGAATAGACTGGAGATGCTCAAAGGAAGGAAAGCTGAGAGGCAATACCAGGAGACCAGGGGAGCAGATAAGAGGAACGTGACCAGAGCTGATGGGGAGATGAGCCAAATCCCTGGAGCTGCTGCTGAGCAACTCTGTGCCACCCAAAGACCCAAGCCCTCACACGTGCCTGGCTGTAGCAGGGGCTGAGCAGCGTGTGGATGAAATGAATGAAAACCTCCAGGTCTGTGCCCCTCCGAAGCAGCTGGGAGCCCAAGGGTTGGGACCTCACTGCCCATCATGCTGAGCTGATCCCCACTTGCACCAGGCAGCTTGGCATGGCCCCTTGGAAAGCTCCTTCCCAACAGCAGTCAGTGACACTGTTGGTACCCCAGGTGGAAGCCCACCTTCCTGTGATGAATGTGAGATGTCAGGATCCCTGCTGCCAGCCACAGACCCACGATGTGGGGCTACGGCAGGCACGGCTCCACCACCAGAAACAAGGCAAGGGACATGCTCCAAGCACAGCTCTGAAGAGATGCAGGGCTGCTCCCCAGCCCTTCCCATGCCCAAGCCTCTGTCCCCTGGATGGAGGTCACAGTGCAGGATGCCCCCGTAGCTGCGCTGTGTGGACGAGGCCAAGGGGAGATTTTCACCACTTTGGGCAAAATCTCGGGTTTTCGTTATTCCATAACAACTTCATTCATCATTCCATTTACCAGTGGGACACTACACCCATAGGTGCTGTTCTGCCTCCATGGGGCAACCTCACTGCTTGTGCCCAAGCCCTGTGCCAAGAGGTTTCCCATCCCAAGCCCTGGGCATGTGGTCGATGACCCAAAAGTGGGGAGGCAGGCGCTGCCTCTCCAGAAACACACAGCCACTTCCATGCTGGAAAACTGCTTGGCCACCATGCCCTGTGCCCACAGAAGCACAGCTCCTGCCCACCATGCTGCCGGGTGCACCCAAGGAGAAGATATGTGAAAACCCTCAAGCATCCGCTTCACAACTTGCCATCCCTGGTAGTTGCTGTAGGGCAAGCAGTGAGCCCCTGGCTGCGGAGCTGGTTAAACCTGGATCCCTCACAGGGATCACTCCTGCATCCCTGCCCAAGGGAGCTGGCATCTTGTTGCAGAACAAAGATGCCATAGGACGAGGATGCCACAGGACACCTTGCTGCAGCTGTGTGACTTCCCATCAGGACACTGATTCCAGGCACTGTCCTAGTGCAGCATCAACAGGTCTCTGTGCTCAGAGCCTGGGGTCCCTGCCCATCCACATTGCTTCCATTGCCTATATGATCCTCTCCTTCTTCCATCCATCCGCAGACAAGCCCTCCTTCAAAGAACTGCCTTTTCCCAGGCTGTTCCCATGAAATACTGCTACCTTTTGCTTTGTGCATCTACCCCAAGCCGCTGCTCAGAGACACAGTTCTGCCCCAGGCACTCCTGCTGGCAGCCCCAGCATCCCTCGCACCCATCAGCTCCCTCTGCCTTTGGAGTGTTTGCCTGATGACCTGCAACATGCTAAACAGCTTCACGGGACGGTGCTGCTTGCCGTTTTTCCCCTCTTAACCAACTGCTGCCACGAATGAGAGGTAAAAAAGCCCGACGATTTAGTGTTTTGATTTACAGGAGAGATCTGCCTTGTGGTTGAGGTGTGTATGGCTTAATTACACAGCAGCGGCTCACCCTCACTGAAGCTGCCGGCTGCCGAGCTATCAGATGCAGGGGAGGCAGAGGCCACAGAGGGAGTATTTTCATGCAGTTACATTTCAGGTGGAGCCTGTGCCCTCCTTCCAAAGCTGAGAGAAACCTTCGTGCAACCAGACACCATCCCCTCACAGCCTTCGCAGCACCAGCAAGCAGTGTTTTCATGGGCAGGATAGGATGGCTGGGCTGCAGAGCCCCACAGCCCTGAGCATGGGGACAGCTGCTGATCCGAGCAAGGCCTCTTCTCTGTTTGATTTGGTGGGATTTTGGGAATCAATCCCTGACAGAGGAGGCAGAACAGAGCCCTGCAGCCCCTGCTGATAGAGCAGCAGGGGGTATTTCCCCCTAGCAGACGGATTCGACTCAAGGCGCTGAGGACCAGAGATGCCCCCAGCTCATCTTGCTCCCCTCCCGGCCACCGCAGCGACTGCACCCAGTGGTCCCCTGCTCCTGCTTCTCCACTCTGTGCTGGGCAAAGCCCCATCAAGGGGCAGGGCCGCACCAAGCATTCCACAGGGTCTGCCCGGCAGGGCTCCCTGCAGACAGCAGCGAGGCTTGCTCAGGGGTGGAGAGGCGCAGCTCCGGAATAGGAGGCATGACTGAGCCTGGGTGGGAAGCACTTGTAAACTGTGCAAGCCCAGGGTTTGCAACAGGAGAGGCGCACGCAGTGCCCCGCGATGCGGCAGCTACATCAAGGATGCAATAAGAAGCGGCAGCTGCAACTCAACCCTGACAGCTCCCGGTTACCAGCGATCCGGTTTCCTTGGCCTCCTCCCTGCCCCTCTCAGGCTGCAGAGCACCTGTGGGGCAGCGGAAAATCCAGGGCTGGGTGAAGGCTCCATGAACCGCCCCCCACCCCGAGACATGGCCAAGCCCCTGGGTGCTGCGTGATGCTCAACTCCAGCAGCAGAGGAGCAGATGTGTCAGGTCCAGGAGTGCCTCCCAGGGCCCTGTCACCCCCGGCAAGCTGGGGCAGGAGTGTGGATCCAGCACTGACAGGGCACCCGGGCCCCTCTCCCCACAAACAGGCAGTTGCACTGCGGGGTCGGTTGCACCCGTTCTTCTCCCCAAACTAAACTCCGCAAGGCACGCAGCCTGCCCAGCGGCAGCTTCCTTAGGACAAACCAACCAGCGCTGCAACTCCTCATCTTTGCATCCTGCCAACTGCCCCTTTCCCACTGCGAAGTGCCGGCAGCCTCCCGCTCCTGCAGCCTGCCTGGACCTTTTAGGACGGTATTTCCCAGAGAAAACCCACCACCATTTCGAGCTCAGGCGTGCGCTCCAAGCACCTCCGAACCAGCGAACGGCAAACGGGGAGCGCTCCATCCCCAAAGCGCGCCCCCAACCCCGGCCTTCCAGCCACCGCTGACCCCACGGGGGGGCTCGGGGTGCTCCCTCCGCCCTCTGACAGCCCAGCCCCACGGCCTCGCTGCTGGATGGGGGGAGCGGGGCAGCCCCATCCGCCGCTGCCGGCCCCCCGCTCCCCAGCGGAGCCCCCGACCCACCTTTAGGGACGGCGCCCATGCGCGGGGTGCGGACCTGCGGGCGGCTGCCTCCGACCGGCCGCGGCTCCTTCACCGGCCCGGCGGGGCGGAGCGGAGCGGAGCGGGTCGGGACGGGGCGGAGCGGGGCGCGGCTCCCGGGGCTCCGTGCTCGCCACCGCCCCGCAGCGCCCCGGATCGGATCGGGTCGGGTCGGCCCGGCCGCAATCCTCCTGCCAGGGCGGGCATCGGCCCCAGCGCCTCTAACGGGGTGGGCGCTGCTCGCCCCTAACCCGGAACACAGCAGTGCGGGGAGAGCCCGGGTGCCGGCTCCGTGCACCCGTTCCCCAAAACACCGCCTGTCTCAGAGCCGGGGACAGCGGGACCCCAGCGGCGCAGCCCAGCAGCCCTCCGGCCCCGTCTGACCTGATACCGGTGCCACAGCCCGTTATCCCCATGGGCTGTCCCGCTGTGCCCATCTCCTGTCGCTGGCCCCGCTGGTAATAAGCCACCTGGCTCCGGCGCTGCCTGCAGCTGAGGCAGCACAAAAACCCCAACATCTGTGGCAAAACCGGCTGGAGAAGGTGAGTAAACACGAGTAAGCACAGCTTTGTGCTCCATGACCTCCTTGTGCAGCCCTAGGGCTAGGGGTAGCCAACGTGACTACTGCAATAGGTATGCCTGCATGAGCAACGCTCAGTGTCACACGGACAAACCCACCACCTCTCGGCATCCTCATTGCCCTCACCTGCCTCCCACGGCCCTGACGGCCTCAAGACATCCACTCAATGTGACCAGATTGTCTTCCCCAGCTCTGAAAGCCAGCAGCTCTGCTCCAGCACCAAAGCTTCTCTCCCTGCCTGCAGCAAAGCACCGGGCACTACTGGAAAGGGTGATTTGTGGTTAGGCGCAAGGCCTTGCAGGTTTGCTCTCTTTATACCCTTCTGTTTACCTCGCTATCTGACACTGCCAGGCCTTGGCATGAACAGTGCTAATTTCCCACTCCTACCCATTCCCAGGCTTGCAGAGCCATGGGCCAGACACAGCCTGAGTCCAGACGGGAGCAGAGAAGCTCACACTGCCCTGTAAGACGTGTTGTGCCACACAGTGCCATCAGAAGCACACAGACCCTTTTGTTCCCAGTTTCGTTCTCCAGTTGTGGCAGCAGCTCCTACCCCCTTTCTCTAGATGTGACTGCCATCCCAGGTGGGAAAGGACCTGTGCACTCCCTTCTCCCATCCTCTTCTGAGGGAAAACCGAGGGATGTCCTCAGGGAGCCTGACAAACCACCCCCCAGGAAGCATCTTCCAGCCTGGGCACCAGTGCATGATGAAGGCAGATGTGTCAGTGGTCAGTCCTTGCCCCTGAACTGCTGGTGGGGCTGAGTGCCCATGTCTGGAGCAGGGGGAGGAGGAAGGAACCTTCTTACTGCCATGTTCAAAGGAGACTGAAACAGCACCCCAGAGACCAAGGCGCAGCCCTGGTGCCAGCATTCCGAAAGCTGAAGACCCCAACGTGGATTGCTTCTCTACTTTGGCACTGAAAGCAGCACCCTGGTTTGCAGAGGCACAGAGCAGCCGCAGCTCGCAGTGGCTGTGATGAAGGTCCCCCATAGCCCTGGAGATGTGCTAAAGTCTCTCTTAAACCACGCAGGCTCTTAGCCTGGACTTACCAGTCTGGTCTCCACCTCTGTAAAACCAGGATCACAAACCAAAAAGTCTCACGGTGGGGAGGGAGTGAAGTGGGAAGCATGACTGTTCATACAGAAGCAGGAGGTAGCTGCCTTATTCCTGGTTCCTCCCAATGCTAACAGCCTTAAGTTGCCTCACTGCCTCATGTTATTACTGAGCTCCTTGTAAACAGCGGTAACAAGAAACTGCCACTTTGTGCAGGCTTTGGTTTTGCTCCTGGGTTTAGCACCCATTGAAACCAAAGCTCTGGGGCGTTGATGCTTCTGCAGCCGCTGCGATGGATGCGTGCACCTCCTGGCGAGCTCTGCAGCCCTCCAAGGACTGCGGCGTCCCTCCAGTGTCCACTTGGCATTGTCAGATGACTCCAGGAAAAAGCCGGGGTGTTTTCCCTGGAGGGAGGAGAGCGTGTGCTGCACCCCCGGTACGCACTGAGGAAGGACTGGTGCTGCTGGGTAGGCAGGAGCAGCGGTCTGGAAAGGCATGAGTGAGGGCAGAAAGCCCATGTGGTTTTCTCCAGCTGTTTTCTATGTCTTGGCTTGGTTCATTCCATCCCTTTTCAGATACCCTGTTGAGAAGTTAGACGGCAGAGCTACCCCAAGGGGCTCGGTGTCCATCACACCATTGCCTGAAGGGAAGGCTAAACCACCTGCTCACACCTTTTCACTGCTCCACTCTGTCTTCATCCCCAGCACCGAATTCATCCTGTGTGGAGCTATTTACACATTAGACCTGCTGGATGCTCCTTGGAGCTATGGCTGCCTGGGACACAGCACCTCCTTTTGGACGCATGGCCCATGCCATTTGCTCCAAGATGCGTACAATGATTTCATGTTTAGTTCAAGTTTGCTGTTGAAAAAAGCGGGCCTGGAGCTCATTTTGTGTGGAATCAGCCCCCCTACTTGCCATCATTAGCAGGAACACCTCTCTTCTGGGGTCTGGTGAGCAGCAGGGTTTCAGCCCATCTAACGCATACACACTGTCAATCCTGAAGAGTTCCCGTTCAACCAGAGTGTTGCACAGAGCAACATCAAACCCAGCCTCTATCGTAACTACGGCTTTTGGTCAGCTGCTAACCTCTTCTTAAGCAACTCACTTTGCAGTCAAACATCATTAAAGTTACCTAAGTTTCCTTCAGGACAAACTGCCCTTTGTGTTCTCCTCAGTTTGGGGAAAAGGAGTCTCTTTGAAAATCCAGATCCACATATGACTGCCTATGATTGTCCTCACTTCTCTCACTTTGGTTGCAACGAGCCAAATAACTGCTGGCAGCTCAGCAATAAAGTCTTCTTTACCCATCACCATGAATCCAAAAGGGAGATGCCGTGTGCTGGACGGACGCATCCTCTGCTGGGAAATCATCATCCAACACACTTAGGAACTCCGATGGGACTCGGCTGTGCCTGCAGGCAATCTCCACAGATGCACCCTGGAATTAAATGCTCCATGTAAATACAGTTTTCTTTTTACACGTTGGGAATGAGCGTGCAGAGGAACATCGGTCCCAAGCCTCGCTTGATGGGGCAGGCTGGCAGTTACACACACAGGCTGCACACTGTGCTCCCTCTTGGGCTTTGCTAATTAGCACGTTGATCTACATCCAGCCTGCTCCCAATTACCCCTCATTTGGAAGCAGGTAATGATGCCATTAGCACAAGGCACTGTCCTTATGTCTCTCACTGCTATCTCCCTTCTCAGCACACCGTAGCCAGTAGCTGTAATGTGTCCACTGAAGACAGCATCTGGCCACACTGAGGAGACACCAGTTTTACCCAGTTCATTCTTAAAAGTGATTTTTTTCCACTTTTCCCTCTTATTGACCAAGTTTCTTATTCTGGAGTTTAAACAATTGATTATTATCCTCTTTTCACATACCCGCTTAGTTTGAATTGTTGAACCCTTTGCCTGTTTGAAGATTCTCTGTGCAGGGTTCATTGAAAACATCCTGCCCTTCCCAGGGTTTGATGCTGGGCGCCAGGCTTTGGACACATGGACCACCCCATAGCAGCGCTCCATCCCCACAGACCAGGGCTGAATGCCCCACACTATGCAGCCTCTCAACAGATACCAGCCACTGCTTTGACCTCCAGCAGCTTCCTTCCTCTCCTGCAGCTCACAGGAACAGGACCTTTGAGATGAACACTTGGATTTTCTCCTACTTTTCCAAGGTTCCTGAAGTCTTGAATAATCTCTTGCTATTCCCACACCATCTTGCTGGCTTTGTGACCCTTCCTAAATGGTCTCTTCTTAACTCCTCTTCACTCTTCTTAACAGAAGCTGCCCATTATAATTGCTTGTCTTGTTAAGGCAACTGGGGACATGTGTGGGCCATTCTTGCACACTTTTCCTGCAAAAAGCCAAAGACCTGCACTCAGAGAGGTTCCCTCTGCTGCCTCCATCCCTCCCAGTACATCATGGAAGAGTGTCCATTCAGATGGTGAAATCTCTGCCAAGAGAAGTCAGGTGCAGCTAAGGACAGCGGCATGGACCAGGACACGTTTCCTTTCAAGCTTACTTTCTGTGCTTCCATGAGCTGCTTTAGGATGACTTTGTAACTCTCTCTGGCCACAGCAAGTTAATAGGCCAAGTGGTGCTGCTCCATCCAGGGCAAGGGAAAAACCCACCACCTCCTTTTTAACACTTGGCCCTGGGTCTTGCCAGGTTTGAAGCAATCCACCAGAAAGATGACCTTGCAAAGCTTGGATGGTTGATGTAGACACCACCATTGCAAGGTGGAGAAGCCAAGATCTTAGGAGTGACTCAGATAGGAGAAAGTGGGGACAACCAAAGGAATCCAAGGAAAGACTTTAAGAATATGGTGGAAGAAAATCACCTTTGAGTGGCATAAGACTCACATCTCCTTCTAAGCAAAAGCTATGGCATCTAGGACAGGAAAGTCAGCTTCAGCATCGTTTCCACTGTGCTTAGAACTGAAGCTCACTCCCACCACTGAAAACTGGTTTGCCAGCAACACCCTGCTCATCCTACCTGTCTCTCATGCAAAGTAAGGCTTACCCAAGGTTCACCTGACAGGGGCTCGGGTCAGAAAGTCACAGAAACCTTAGGCCTGAGATATGACCTCCTTCCAGCCACCATTTGCCTGGTACCCTGTGAGAAAGGAGCTGGTGCTGCCTGCTCTGCTCCAGCTCCCCCTGATCCTTCCTGCTCCACTCATTAGGCACATCCACAGGGCGTTAAAACCTCTCCATGGAGACTTTCTGCACCCCAGCACTGGCAATCCCGGATGGGGATCAGTCCCCTCCTGGGGACGGGACAGGGGCTGGATCTGCCACAATGGATGGAGCGACTTCCCATCAGTGTGTCGGATGTGGGACGGAGGCTGCATCCCTTTGTAAGCTGGTTTCCCACACGCTTTCTAGTTACTGTTGTTTGGGA